CTAAGTGAATTAAAACTACTGTCAAAGAAAGCCTGTGGCATTTACCCACACTCAAAAAAACATTATAGGAGTAATAGGCTTTGTCTGTCACATTTTAAGAGGTTGTTGGTGCTGTTGTGGGAAATTGAGAACAAAATCTAGTGAGTTGGATAACTTTGGTGATCATTGATTATGTTGATACTAGCTTATACAATAACATATGGGGCAACTATAGTGTACATCCAGCAAGGACATATAAGCTACTCAGGTGAAGTAAGTGTTTAAGCACAAAAGCCAGGCAGGTCCTACTGAGATTTGAACTCACGTCGTTGGATTTAGAGTTCTAACCAGTACACCATGGAACCCGTCCCTTTAAGCCGTAGAACCCTAGGTCTGGCCTCTCAGCTCAAGGTATGGACCACAGCTGACTCCACGTGAACTACAATCCCGATGCTCTGTTTTAACGTTTAGAAACGTTAATACTCCTCGCTTGAGATACGGTTTTGGAAACAATACAATACAAAAGATATACTTGCTGTAGGCAGTTCAGCAAAGTTGCACCTGGCTGTTGCTCTCACCTTGCACTCCCATTTCCATTGGACCATTCCAGTCCACATTTCCTCTGGAAGCCGGTGCCCTTCAAAATACAGGCGGGTGCAACTTTACTCAACTGCGTATAGTAAATGTATCTTTTGTATTTGAAAAAAAGTATTGCTCATATTAAAGTTAAGTTCCAAATGTTTCCAAAACCGTATCAAGTGCTAGGAAATATTTTATTTTAGACAGAGCATTTGGCCAGCATCAGGCAGAGTCGGAGCGTCTGGGCATTTGCCTAGGGCGGTATGGTAAGTGGAATGTAATGTAATGCAATTGGAGTCATGATAAGGGCAAATAGAACCCTAGTGCCCTCAAAAACAGTTATCAGCAATTAGCTTCGCCCATGACTGCCTCATGTGAACTACAATCCCAACACTGTGTTTTAAAGTTTAGAAATATAAATAATCATCACTTCCAATACAGCTTTCGAAACACATTACCCTTATATTTCATCAGCGAGAAAGAATCCTTCAAATAAAAAATATACACTTACTGTAGCAGTTTTGCACAGATCCATACAGCTATGGGTGCCACTATCTGACGAAACTACATTTCCGCTACATTTCCCGAGTTACGCTTAACCACGTGTTCAGAGCATGCTAGATAGCTAATTAGCACAGGTGGTTGCCTCTTTTTCTGTTTGTTTTCCGCAAACAAGCGCTGGAACATGAAGATATCGCCGTGTGAGAACACTAACCATAACCCTATCAAGGTGTGTATCAATTTAACCTTTTGTTTTTTGAAAATTATTTATTGGTGATATGAAAGATAAGGTCCTTATGCTTCCAAATCCGTACCGCAAGCGATGCATGTTAATGTTCAGACTGAGCATTGAGGATCTTAACAAAACTCCCCCCTACATAAGATGCCTTCGTCCAATGACTTATGTGTAATGTAATGGAACTGAGAGTCATGTTCATGGGCTAGTACAACCTGTGCTGGTTAGTAAGGGACAAGGGTTAATAGAAAACCTTTCTTGGCAAGCAGGGCAGGTGTGAGTCTGAAACAGTAACAGTAGGCCCTAAGTGTGATGTGTGAGTCTGAATCATCAGTATCCAGGATCAGAACTAGCCATTTTAAACAATAAATGAATTAACTAAAATATGCAAATACTTAGACCTATGTGACTTATAGATGACGTACTGATGTACTGATCGCCAGGGGGCGCTAAGTCCACATGTGGTCGCTGAACGCACTTCATCAAGCATAATTAGCTCCCATCCTTACCGATACTGCAGTTCATACGTGGGGCCAATAAATATATCTCTCTCTCTCTCTCTCTCTCTCTCTCTCTCTCTCTCTCTCTCTCTCTCTCTCTCTCTCTCTCTCTCTCTCTCTCTCTCTGCATTGTATATTAACAGTTAGATTTTTTTTTATTTTGAGATAGTAACTTTTATTATGGTGTTATTCACCATATTCTGCTTTCTTTGTGCTGTAATCTCCAGGTATTCAATTATGTCTATTGTCTCTTCGATCTTTTATACACTTATCTGGAAAGCCAATGAGCCCTACCTCAAAATGATTTAGCCCTGGCACACAATTTTGAGGTAGGCCTATTTTTTTTTTTTTTCATTTGAGTCCGTTGTATATTAATGATATGTACATAGGGGACTTTTCCCCAATACTTTTCGGGTAGGCGATATTTACCAAAAAAAGTACACCACAAACGACCATGACACAACGAAATTGATGACACGCAAGGTTGTAGGGATTTAATGTACAGTCCCAGTAATGCTTCTAACATGTTGAGCTTCTTTATAATATTTTGTATTTTGTTAAAACAGATGTATGTATATTTTGTTGATAACTGTACTTGTACATGATTTCAGACTAATGCATTCATATCTTCAGTGATACGCATATCAAAAATAAATAACATATAGCCTTGGCCTACTAGTTGCTGTAATTTACAGAAGTCACTGTACATAATCATAATAGTAATAATAATAATAATTATTATTATAGCTATTATTTATTAACTTTTTTGTTCACTGATGATGGTCGCCGTTTACCATTAATACAGAGAGGAATGGGGGACTGGGTGGGCAGAGGCATGGGGTTTTAAGTAAGAGGCACGTTGTGAATTGTGTAAACAGCCCGGGGCAGTGGAAAAGTTCATGCCGGGGTCCCTGTAAAGAGAAACCGGCGGAGCACCAGGCCAGTGCACGGCCATTTAATCAAGACGACCTGGAGGGGATTAGGGCGATATTGTGACCGTAAATTAGCCTCACAATGACGATTAATACATATATATTCCATTTAGCAGACGCTTTCATCCAAAGCGATTTACGTGTATAGAATTTACGTATGGGTGGTCCTCGGGAATCAAACCCACTATCCTGGCATTTCAAGCGCCATGCTCTACCAACTGAGCTACAAAGGATCAATCAATAATTTCATGTTTTTGCCTCCTCTGTCTATTCTCTAAAAGTTAGCCTAGCATGTTTGGCAAAATATAATCTGTTGAGGAGCATCGTATTAATACTAACTAATTTGTTATAGCCTGTGTCGAAAGGCATTTAATATCAGTTGCGCTCCAATACAAGTTTGTGTAACTTGCATTCGTTTTTAGGCACATTTTAAGAACAATGGATTCCCTTAATTCCATTAAATATATTCATGATTACATTTTTGTTTTAATATTCCTGCTGAGGGGATAATACCTCTTGTAAATAGGCCTACTTTATTAATACAAAATAGCTAGGTATGCATGAAGAAATATTAGGCTAAATAAATATCAAAACGATAATATTACTTAGGCCTATATAGAATGGATGTAATTGTTTCGATATAATGCAAACCTGATCGTCCATAAATATTTCTGATGTAATTTTTATTTTGAATAGTGTGTCCCTGAGATAATATTGATTGAATATGTTTTATTTTAGTAATACAATTGGTCATCTTAATAACAATTTAAAACAGAATATCGTGGCGTCCACGTTTAGCAGCCTATAACATAGAGATGGTGAGAAGTATGAACGCGATATAGGGAATAGATAAATACAATAAAACGGGTCTGAAGCTTGTTAGATACCTTCAACTTGATACAATCTGTTTGAATTTAATCAATTATCTCTTCACTGAGCAAGTAGATAGGAGCTTTCCCATGCAACAAAAACTAACGGTATAGCCTATATATATATAGTTTATCTTGTCTAGCCTACATTACAATACCATTATTCCGTTAATATTCACAGGTTTTGACCACAATAATGACACAATTAGCTGTCTGACCACACCATTTGGTTCCTCGGTTCAATCTGCCTCTCACTTAGAGCAAACTTTCGCAACTTGACCCTTTCTCAGGCCAAACTAGTTTTAATTCTGCGGTAATGAGATCTCACATACCGCCCACTGAACGGAATGAGGAGCGCTCCTTGGAGCTTTGATCCGACGAGGCGTGTTAATTGAGACTTTTAACTAACATACCGCGTTAATAATGCTTCGCATTAAGACGCTAAACTGCAGGAAGCAAACACTGGGGATTATTGCCTCCTCTTAACGCGTATTGATTGCTTATTTGAAAACAGATGTGTGACAGGATTAGTTTTTAATGTAGTGATTCACCCAAACGGAGGTGATGGAGGAGTGTTTGTTCTCCATTTATTTCAGAATGAATATCAACATTTCACATTCTGAGTGAAAACTCTTTCGAAACATTATTGTAATAGCCTAATAATGAATGTGCTAAGTAAGGTCACTCCATAGAATTAGGAATTTAATAGGATCTCTATAGGTTACAAAATCGCCAACTGTCCTAATCATTAACAGCACATTAGTAGGCTTAAATAAAACATGTAGGCCAATAATCCCATACAGTAGTTAAATAATTTACAAAATACATTGGTATTTATTATTTATCATTCCACCTGGTGGTCTCACCAATGTGTTTGCTCATGTATGGAAATATTCTGCAATAACTAAGTCTAGTTCATAATCTGATTTTGTTCCTGAGCAGGCAGCGTGCTCACGACTGAAGCCCTGTCTTTGGCTGGAGTGGGCTGGGAGTTACACCTCCTCTCGTTTTTCTAAAGATGTGTGTGTGGCCAGGAGCTCGATCCATTGCTGCTCACTCTGCACTGCCTGACCTACAATTGGACAGCTCGGATTCTCTTTGGGAGGAGCATACTGGCAGCAAAAAGGGGGAAAGAAGTTGACTGCGCAAAAGTATTCTGTAGTGACGGATGCCCAAAGTTCATACGTTTTTCAATGCGCGCCTCAGCACACTGAGATGGAAACCGCTTAAACCCTATTAAGACCTGGTACAGTGCGTTCCTGATAATATTATTTGTCAAGTGACAAGACAGGAACTCCTGCTTTGAGCGCCTCAACTTTTCAGAAGGAAAAAGTGGAGCTCTCCGGCTGCATACTTTGGGAAGTTCGTTTTACGCAGGAGCATAGTTGAGCTGTGGGGAGAAGACATGCAGGCGCGCTACTCCGTCTCGAGCCCCAACTCTCTGGGCGTCGTGCCTTACATTAGTAGCGACCAAAGCTACTACCGGGCCGCGGCCAGTGGAGGATACACCGGGATGCCGGCCCCTATGAGTATGTACTCTCACGCGGCCCACGACCAGTACCCGGCTAGCATGGCACGAGCCTATGGACCGTATACCCCGCAGCCTCAGCCGAAGGATATGGTGAAACCCCCGTACAGTTACATTGCGCTCATTACTATGGCTATCCAGAACTCGCCTGACAAGAAGGTGACCCTGAACGGGATTTATCAGTTTATCATGGAAAGGTTCCCGTTCTACCGAGACAACAAACAGGGCTGGCAGAACAGCATCAGGCACAATCTCTCTCTCAATGAGTGTTTTGTCAAAGTTCCCCGTGATGACAAAAAGCCTGGTAAGGGGAGCTACTGGACCCTGGACCCGGACTCATACAACATGTTCGAGAACGGCAGCTTCTTGAGGAGGAGGCGACGGTTCAAGAAGAAAGACGCAATGAAAGACAAGGATGACCGGGGTACTAAGGAGACGCCGTCCAGACAGGGCCGGGACACGGAGCAGCCCGTGCAGGGATCCCAGCCAGTCCGGATCCAGGATATTAAGACCGAGAACGGGAACGCGACACCCCCACAGGCCGCCTCGCCCTCCCTGAGCACCGTGCCCAAAGTCGAGAGTCCCGACAGCAGCAGCAGCATGTCCAGCAATGGCAGCCCCCACAGCATCCCGTCCAACAGGTCCATCGGCATGGAGAGCTCCGAGCAGCACCAGCACCACCACCAGCACAGCCAGGCCCAGGCACAGGGCTTCAGTGTGGACAACATCATGACTTCCCTCCGGGGGTCCCCACAGGGTGCCACAGAGCTCGCCCCGTCTCTCATCGCCTCGTCCAGGACAGGTATAACACCGTCTTTGTCCCTGAACTATTCACCGAACCAGACGTCAGTCTATAGCTCACCCTGTAACCAAAACTCTATCTCCACTACCTCGAATGCTAGCTACCATTGTAATATGCAAGCCATGAGTTTATACGCCGGGGATAGATCTAGCCACCTAGCTCCGACTACCACCGTGGATGAAACTTTGCCAGATTACTCCATCACGACCACCTCCTCCCCTCTGGCCCACGGCAATCTAAACACTGGGCAGGAGGGCCACCATCCCCACCAAGGGCGGCTTCCCTCATGGTACCTCAACCAGGCCGGGGACCTGGGCCACCTCGGGGCGACCTACCCTGCACAGCAGCAGAACTTCCACTCCGTGCGCGAGATGTTCGAATCTCAAAGAATTGGCTTGAATAATTCTCCAGTGAACGGGAATAACAGCTGTCAAATGTCATTTCCCCCTAGCCAATCCATCTACCGCACTTCAGGAGCTTTCGTATATGACTGCAGCAAGTTCTGACCAAAGTATGTTTTCATTGTATTGATCTTCTTCATAAAAATATCGTGAGTCGTTTTACCCACCACCTGCCACGACGATGGACTAAAACGAAACACAACTTTAATGGACAGATAAAAAGATATGATCTTTGTTTGTAAAGAACAGTGTTACGGCAAATAACACGTAAGTCTCTTCTCGCTTTTGTGACATGTTTTAAAGATAAGGATATGCCAGTCTTTCATGGACATATTATTACGTGTAAATTGCATATAGTAATTTATTTCTAAACTGTAGCCGGATATTATGGACCAAACACCAAAAAGTGTTTCTAAATTGAAATGCCTTAATTGTCCAAATTTGTTCCATTATAAAAAGCGGAACTTGTATATCGTTGTAATCTTTCAAAGTTTATTATTTTGTTGAAAAGTATTCTGAAGGAATTGCATTGTTTGTTTAATAAATTGCCATTGTATTTGAGTTAAAGCTACGCCTGATTTCTTATAGACTATATGGCATTCTCAACACTTATCTTTTTTTGACAGTTCGTGTAATTTCACCAGATATTATTTCTTTGGCTTGTAAGCTATACGCTATCTTACACCTTGTTTCAAACTTATCGACGTGGGATCACTGGCAGTGATTGAGAAATCAGATTTTAAATCACAGTCTTTTTTTAGACAGGTTAGGTTACCATTCTCACTATACATTTTCACAGAAAAATTATAAATCTAGTCACGGAGTTTGGTCAGTTCGTTTAGGCTTGTCAACAAAATCGAGGTCAATTTGAAGAATCAATAATTGCCCAAATTAGCATGGAATCTTTCTAGAATAGGAATACATTTATTTCCAAAACGTTGAATTTCAATGCAAGTCGATCTAGTCAATTGAATGTTACGTGCGTAAAAGTTCTCCAAGAGGTCAGCTGCATATACAATCAGACATATTTATCATATGTGTTGATGATGACTTGAAGTGGCAGTGCATTTAGATGATTGTTTTACTTCATATTTAAAGCACAGTTCTCCTCTTGTCAGACACGGACGATCTGTCAACATCTTGACCTGGGGCCCTCTAGCCTCATAACAGTTCATCGATGCAGGCTAGTAGTCCACACAGCAAAACGGTCTTGTTTTGAATAGCCACGTGTGTTTACAGTCACATTCCAACGCTTAATTAATAACATACCACGCATGCCAAAGATAGTCCTTTAGCCAAACGAGGTTTGGGGACTGCGATCTATAAAGATGACTCCAACTTCACAATGCATCTCTAATAGGGAGATGAGAGCCACACTCATCCTAAAGCGCGTGCGCAAAGTATAGTAGCCTATATGGCTTTTGTTTTGTATTTATAGTTAAACAAATCACAAGGGTCTCACCTAATTTGCATCTTCTTTAGAAATTGAGAAATTCGTAAATAGGCCTATTGTAATTGGCAGGTCTACGTAAATTATTATTATTATATTTTATTTTTTCAGACAGCTGGTTTGCCTCGACTGGTTAATGAGGGGACATATTTTCCTTGTTGTCACATTTTTAAATTACAGAAACATGTTCCACTGCCTAAGTTTAAACCTTTGGGGACAGCATGATATGATGTATGGTTGAAGTAAATTAGATTAATTTGTTGAATTTGCCATGAGGAGAAACATGGGCTCGTAAAGCCATGTTGTGCGTAAATCCATGTATGTCTCTTAGACATTTATCCCTCCAGTTGAATAATGTTATAAATTAAATCTTCAGTTTATTACGGTTTTGCAAATGAAATATGCCAGAGCAAAATGGACATACATAGGCTTACTTTATTGTTTCCTGGTGTGACGGTAGGCCTGTGCGTAAAGTAGGCTTATGCCTAAACAAGGCCTACTATGCGTAAAGTGCATACCTATTCTCAAATTCCAGGAATAAAAGTCTCCACTAATTATAATAATATGAATTATGATAATTATAATATTACTATTATTTTAGTAATCATTTTGCACACTATTTCCAATTGCCATAACAACATACAGGGCCAAATGCAAACGGTTACCAGAGAGCAACGGATGTTTTCAAAGTTCAAGCATGTATAAGATATTTTCAAAGAAGAGGCGGTTACTGTGGTTAATTTAGCTGCTAATTGCCTAGATAGGGTCAACAAAGCACTTTAAATTTGCTTAGAACATCCACGGTTATAGGTTATGTTAATCGTTCAATTATTTGACGGTTAACTTTGCGTTAGTCTAATATCAATGTAATGGCATTGGTTGACTTGATGTTCTGTTCAAGCGGATGAGGGGTAACTGTTCAAGGAGGCCCTTGGGGCAAGTAGGGTCAAACGGGATATGATCATATGAGCATGGCAGCGTGTCGTGTATCCTCTGGGCCCAAACATAGGCCTGGAGGTTGCAATAAATGGAACAATTTACATTGTACCTTTTGTCTATTTGGCCTATGACTAGTCTAACTGATCGTGTGGGACGATAAGAACATTACCTTGACACAAAAGTTATAGGCTAGCTATAGATATTTCCTTTTACAAGATAAACAACTTCAACAAAAGCAACAAAACAAAACTCATAATAATAGCGAGGCCTATATCCAGTAAACACGCACTCGTTTGGCCGACGTATCAAATTGCGTATGGGAATGTAGTTTGGATAGCGTTTGCACATTTGGAAGACGTCGACGAAACACCAGAATATAATCTTGATGTCTGGCCAACGTATAAACGATGTAGAACTGTAAAAAATGTAGAATTTAGAATGTAGGCATTCTAAATACATCTGCAAGAGGTCTTGCCAATGAGCAAACGATGTCTAAACTGCATCTTCCCGATTTATCCTGTATACATCGTGCCTACGTATTATGAACTGATTATGAATCACACAGCAGCCACAATAAGGTTGACAACAGAATCACAGTGGAGCACAAAAATCAACTGTTCAGCAAAAATAATAGTGTTTAATTGAGCAACACTTTGGCCTATAAAAACTATCTCCCACCGTCGAATAGCTGTAATCAACCTCATAAAACTAAAAGTCATTACATCCTTTCCCAAGTAATAAACAACCGTCATGTTAGTCCCAAGATTGATGGCACCCTCACAGAACGGGCCAGGTCAGGAAGGAATAAAATTCAATCAGAGCGCTGGAATCATTTTTCATGGGACGGAAAAGGCAGAGAGGGAGACCGGGGTCAATGGGGAGGATGTCGGCCGCCGGAGCACCATCAACAATACCGCAGGAGAAAGCAAGGCAAGGCAGGAGAAAGAGAGTGTCCTGTGTGTGTACACAGGAACACTCCTGACTCTACAATTTATGTGATTTCTTTCCACTCTTGGGCCCCAATGCGCAGTTGGAACGTGAACTGCGACGAATGCTACCACAAATATCATAGAGCTGGAGAAATTCAGTAACAAAATGTGACATAATAATATTTGTACCCAGTTCCTAAAAGTAGCTACAGAATAGCATGCACATCGGTTGCACGCAAATCCTTATCCCTATCATGCCCTGAGTTGGTGCTCAGTTGGGCACACTTTATTTTATTCATTTGTATAGGACAACAGTTAAAATAAGTCAGTCTTTAAAATGCATAATGATAATAATATATTTATAAATATCATTATTACTATTATGATCCATATTCATATTCATATTATTATTTGTGTTATTATTATTATTATTATTATTATTGTTATTATTCCATAGCTATTGTACACAGATTATTATCTGTAGTTTCTTTCTTCTTGTTACTACTTACTATAAAATACTAGGCTACTAACTTAGCCTATAGGTATACCGCACTACTACAACAGATTGATCTACTACTACTACTACTACTACTACTATAGGTCTACTTCTACTATTAGGCTACTATATGAGATAGGACTATTTATATCGATGTTATTACTTGTGTGTGCGTGACCAATAGTTGTATATTAAGTACGCCTATTTACATTTCTTTACGGATAACAATCACCTGTTTTCTTCCTTATAAGGTCTCTATGAAAACGTGATTTTGACATGGGCTAAAGTTAGGCCTATTGATTTGAAAGCCTACACGTGTAATGCTATATAGGTGATTTCATATTGTACATTTGGCAAAACGTTGTTTTTCTAGACACTTTCTCCCCTCTGACTTCACTGTCCCCTCAATAGTCTCCCCTTTTCCTGAAACGTTCCGCTACATTCCTGAAATGCACAGTTTCACATACGCGTCAGCACGAGTCCTTCCCTTCTCACACTCTCTCCCACATTTATTTGGGTCAAATACCAAAAACAAAAATTACTGTGTTCTACATTCCTTTTATATTTAGCTCGTCAAAACAACACGATTTCAATATCCGTTTTAATTAAACAGAAGTTGACTACAAATAGGCCTAGAGAATATCTTTCCGAGACTTGTTTGGACAGTAGGCTATTTAAAATAAATGTTTAGATACATATATTCAAATGCAGTAGGCCTATGTGAACTTCACCTCCTTTGTTGATTTACTGATGATTGAGTGATAAATTACCAATGCGTGCTTTACCTGGGGCGGCAGGTAGCTTAGTGGTTAAAATAAGTGTGCCAGTAACCGAAAGGCCGCTGGTTCTAATCCCCGAGCCGACTAGGTGAAAAACCTGTCGATGTGCCCTTGAGCAAGGCACTTAACCCTAATTGCTCCTGTAAGTCGCTCTGGATAAGTGCGTCTGCTAAATGACTAAAATGTAAATGCTTTCCTATCATTTATATTTTCCTCACACAAATGCATCACTAGGTGGAAAATACCTACAATTTTATATCGCGATCTTAACAATGCAATCTGTGCCATATGTTGCCTAGGCTATAAAGGTAAAATCACATCCAGTAACGTTATTTATTTCGAACTTTAACTACTTTGTTGTGATTTGCTTAACTTCGATGCCATTTTTAGTGAAATATCAGAAAGAGACCCATTGACACCAGGAAGTTTTAACGAGGATTTAAAGACTTGTGGGTCAAAGTTCAATGACAAACAATTCGTAAATCACCAACTGATAAACATAATTTAAGACG